ACAATGCAGCGGTACGTTCGCCCCTACTGTACGGTTGCGAAACCTGACCCCTTAAAGCAGCGGACATGAAGAGGCTAGTTACGTTCGAACATCGGTGCCTTCGCAGTTTGGCTCACATCCGGTGGGAACACCGCGTGAGTAACGAGCGTGTTCGACACCTTGTTTAGGCACAGAAAAAGGAACTTAACTGCTCAGCACCGTCATTTCACGCACCAGGCTCCGATGGCTCGGCCACGTGTTGCGCATGCCAGACCACCGACTCCCTCCACGGGCGTTGTTTGCTCGCCAGGGATGTGGGTGGAAGAAGAGGAGAGGTGGCCAAGCGATGACTTGCTCGAGAGGAATGAAGGCTCTCACTTCTGAGCTGCTCTCGGTTGGAGGGTCACGGTTCCCTGGTTGGGGTCCAAAAGACGGTGAACACAATTGGCTGGACACACTTGCTGACATGTCAAGGAGTCGACCTCAGTGGCTTTCGTGTTGTGAGTTCCTTTGTCCCTTCCCATTCCTTTTAGCCTCCCCCTCCATCTAAGATCTCATTTCGCAAGGTAAAACATAATATTTTTTTTCTTTTTGCCTAGTAGCTGGTTGGTAGCTTACCGGAACGATGACTATCCGTTGCTGGTAGCTCAGCTGGCATGCAACTCTTGTATCTATTTTTCTTTTGTGTATTTTATAATATGTATGTATGTGTGTATTTCCTTCATGTATTGTGTTATGGGGACCCAACGTCCCTATAATTATTAAAGGCTGAAATTACGGAAGGCTGAAAACCCGATTCACTCGAGTGCACATGTACTCAGACCAGACAAAACGCACTCGTTTCAGTCAGCCTTCTAACTCGTGTAACATGCACTTTGTTAGCCTTTGCACCCAGAAACAGTCTTGTTTCTAACCAAACACGCATTGTTGTATCCAAGCAACATTCATTTTTCCGGACAACTCTCGCCAAACTTCCAACATTTCTGCTCAGTCTACGGACTTTGCACATTTACACAAAGCCATGTTTCTTGTTTCCAGGGTTTGGTTACGCAAACTCTTTCAAGGAAAAACCCCCCTTCATATCTGTTTCGTGATATAAAAATGAGGCTGTAGAACGCTAGAATCGCCTTCGCTTTGGCCAGTAAAAGCGTCTGTGGCAAAGGCCTGTCTTGTTCTTGCTTCAGTCTTGGGTTGGGAAATCGTGCGTAGAAATTTTGCGTTCGATCTAGGAACCTGTTCGACTCGCGTGAATTAATCTTTCGCGGCTAAGTTCCGATAACCCACAGACTTCGAGATTGTCAGTTACCATGCCGTGCGAGAAATAATTCTGAGTCTCGTTCGTTCATCCGTCTAGCAGAGTTGGTATCGCATTGTTAGCACCTGACATATTCAAGAGGCAGTATTCAACATATTGCGGCACAATAGCGGAGGTGTTTCCCCACCTCTAGCTGACGTGCACAATGATGAGGATGTTATCAAAAGTTGTTTTTGCAACTTGGCGAATCAGCCTCCCGATTCACATACTGGGCTTCAACACTGCACCATCAACCAGTTGTGAATATCAGTGATTCACTTCAGCAACATGTACTCGTTACCTGTAAATCCAGGGCTGTTTATTCGAGTGTCAAATGCGCACTCAGTGCCACAGTTGTTCAAATGATATGATTTACAACTTCTAATGGTGTTATTTTAGTCCATCAACAATAGCCATTGTACGATGCTGCGAATATACCTACTCGCATACATAAAGCATATGCTAACTTGAGCTATCCTGCCACGAATTGCTGACACACGGAAACAAGCTTACTTCTCGCCATGTTCCAAAATGGTTACAGGCGAATTACAAGCAGAATACTCAATAGAAAATAGCGATGTTAGATGCAAATAAACCAATGCATGCGTTTGATCTTCAAAAATTTGCACTAATCCAGTAACCAACCATCAGATTCACGAAACTCCTAGTCTCCAACCGAGAAAAGCTGGAATCAATGGCTGCAATAACGGGCTATTGTGCAGCTATCAACAAATCGGAACCGAAAGAAGACATAAAGCTGATGGTATGTAGGAAACTGATCAGGTTAATTTGGTATAATTAACGCAATTGCGATTGAGCCAATAAAGTTGAAACAGGCTTTTTGCTTATTGAACAGCCCAGGGGCTACAGTACTTTGACTCCATACAATCAGTACTGAGCTTAATCGAGAACAATTCCTCTACTTCTCAGAAACCTTACAGAACGAAAGGCTGTGTATGGCCTAAAACCTTAAAGGTCGGGTTCTGCGTCTGTTGATCCATCTCCGCAGTGGGAGCAATTCTGGTGCGAGTTCACGGTTCAGAATATCGGTTTTAAAATTTGCTCTATAGCAGATGTCCACAGGACTCGTTTGCAAGTTTATGCTTTCCACTAATAGTTAGTTCGCATTTCTTCATCTCATCAGGCTGCTAAAACATCGGTCGCAGCTAGGTTCACGCAGCAGAATCAGGTCTGAGATCAAACTACAGTGGTGGTCTCAAAGCAGTGCTGTACTTTTGACCGCAGTTAGCCAACTCATTCAGCTGTCTATTGATGAAATCCCGTACACGTATATCCATCTAAGTGTGTTCATGTGGTTGCTTCCAGGATGTCCTGTGTGAAGTTGCGCAACGCATGTCAATTTAAGGGTGCAAAAATGAGGAAGGTTTCCAAACATCGGATGCAGCCTTTTACAATGGAGAGAGACGCCACGAGCAGTACTGTCGCAATTCAGTTGGTCAACATGAATGTGGCCAACTGGGTGCAATGAATTGAGAAACTTTCTTTAGCATTTCAACTCCCTCTGCTTCTGATGTAACTGGTAAATCGTGAAGGGCATTGCACACCAGGAATGGGATGTCAGGCCCATTAGGGATTGAGGTGCTAATTGCCTACTACTGTTCATGTTGTTTGAAGTTTGTGAGCACTGACAAACCATTCGCCTGACTTAGGGAATCGGGGACTGGTAGCTGACCTTAAAAGCAGAGCCCAGCAGAATGAGGGCCTTGCGTTGAAATTGGTTATCTGTACATGGTTTGTGATCACATGAACGTTAGAAACTGTAGTCATATGGTGTTTTGTGAAATGTTTTCACTGCGAAGTTTGTGCATGGCATTTCGTTGGGTGATCGCTGGTACCGTCTGCGTCGGCGATTGCCTTCTGGGATCCACACTGCTGCACATGAAAGACCATTACCCCGGATCTGTGATTGCATGCATCCGTTGAGAGCATGGTTTCTTGAGATAGGTCGGAGTGAATTTACATGGAGTTTGCTGCCAACAAGTACTTTATTAGTTCGGAGCACTCTGGCATATGTGTGCTAAATTCCAGGTGTGGTTTTTCGCCAATAATTCGTTCAACGCGGCACGCAGGTGAAGCGATTTTGGCAAACGAACATTGTGGTAACCCATGAGACCACATAAGGAAGGTAGCGATTGCAATTACGGTGGCAGAACCATTTTCTGTAGCATTTGTATGTCCGTCCTAAACTTCCTACCGTGACGGAGACCGTCTAAAATTACGGACGTACACTACCGCGTAAACAATCGTGTTAAGTCTTCTATGGACTGGGCAGTGGCAACTGACTTAGCCTGAACGCGATTACATATGTTACGCACTGCAAATTAAGATAGATCTGGTTTTTAAACCCAGTCGACTCTGAGAATATTCAACTTCATTTGATCCTTCAGGTAGCACCTTCCGTTGTTTCCACTCCACTGTATGCAACATTTACAGCAGATCTCCCTGACTAAATTCTACACCCAGCCGGTTACATTTTGAGCCAATAAAGTAAATTTGACTACATTTGATCACTTGATGTGATTCCAAACAGTCCTAAAATTGATAATCACATCAGATGCTGTCAAGTTGCAGTATTGGTCGAACCCAGTTGATAAGTACCGTGACGAACCGCCGACGAGGAAGAAAGTCGCTGTGAAAACTAGTAACGAATAACAGAAAGTATGCATTAGTTATGTTGGGCTTTCCTAAACAGAAATAACTGTAAAACTTTTCCTTATGGTCCTGTTTGTGGCGCCTTTCGCATGAAGTTACTTGAATGTCTCAGCGCTTTTGAACAGGTGAAGTCCTTTTTGGCATTAATGTGACAATCTGTAATGATTGCAAACCATAGAAGCAACGAGGTGAATGGGTGTTTTGCCAATGAAATCAAACGACTACTGACGGCAAATGTAAGTATGACCCGTTGACAAACATGTTGCCAAAGAACACTAGTATTAATATACCGAGAGTTACAACAGCGCTCAAACGAATGTGCTGAGTGCGGTTTGCAATCGAGGAAGAGGACATTAACTAGTGCTCGATTGCTAGTATGATAACAATGTGCACTTTGCCAAAGGGTGGCCCGTCTGTAGCGCCAAATTGGTCCAGTGCGTATATGCGGTGAAACACGCCCCAAGTACCACAGTGTACCGGTTATTACAAGGAAACACATAAGCTCCTGGCTTACCGGACGGAGTTATAAAGATAACCTTTGAGTGAAAACTCCTGTGATTGTGTGAAAAGTGGAGATGGTGAGCAGAAGAGCTGAACATCATCAAAGTTTCACTTATAACGCCCAACTCCCCGAGTGGCGTTATTACCTTCGTTTTGGAGGAAGTGGTTGAGGTCGCACCGCAATTAGCCAGCCCTATTCTGAGCACAGCTGTAGCGTAACGATAGTGGAAAATGAGATTCGCTATAACGCAATCCATTATATGGTCAGGTACTACACAAGCGTCACTTAAAGTCAGGTGGTATGCAAAACTCCCACTACAAGTTGGGTGGTCATATGTTCAAAATCACCTTTGATTAGACAGTAAATTGCAATGATATCGTGCCCAAATATTTTTCCGGATAGTAACGACTGAAAAATACTGAGGTTGGCTGCGAGAAAACCGTTTGGACGCAACAAAATGATCGAACAGATGAACAGGAAAACTCATTAGGACGATGAAATGGAAGTTACTACATACACATAGAGTGTGGGTGAGTGTGTAACAACACTGACCTGACTAGATTCGGTTGGTTGAGCTTCTCACGAGTATGCGAAAGCATTGTGTACCGAGCGATGGAAGGAGGATACCGGAAAATGTGATATCCGTAATGACGCACGCGAATGTACATGTCATTGTCTTCGCCCCCCCATCCAAAGAAGCAGTTGGAGAAACCACGTACCCGCTTGAATTGATCGCGTGTTAGTGCAATTGCACCACCAAATAGAGTGGGGTAAGGCAATCTGATGAAGGGACGAAGAGCAGATGTGGAGTAAAGCACAAGCGAACATAGGCTATAGCGTACACTTAGTTGGTGAAATCATTGCCCAGAATTGGAAAAACGCAACCACCTGTTTCAGAAATTTTACTTTCCAAGGTCTGGAACTAGCTTCTGAAGCAAGTAACATATGTACTAGTTCCATTTGAACACAACGTTCTCGAACATACAAAGCAAAAGGAGTAAGATAGAGGGCACGAAAGGAGGCCGACCGCAATCAAATTAAACAAGAATGGAAAATTTGGGTGAGTGCGTAATTGCCCCAAGAAACTTGGACACGAAAGCAGAGCGACGGTAGGAAAAGCATAGTCTATAGGATTGGCGCAGGTGTCAGTCGCAATGGGAAAGAAAGTCAGCGAGTGAGATAGCATAGGAAAAATTTCCTCAGGTTTACGAAACACTCAAAGTTAAGTCTAGATACCGGTTAATGCAAGCCAAATAAATCGACACTAAGAAGAACAAAGCGACATCCAGAAATGGGTACAAAAAGAGAGGTACCCCGCATCATTACAGATAACTGACACATCAGTCGAACATTTGTTGGATAGAACATAAGTACATCTGTCGTCTGGCGGGGTGCGACACCACTGGATTACAATGCATCCAATGGATGTGGTGAAGTCCGGACGCGCAACGATAATAGGTGATGTGCTAGTACCGCCAGATGATTAGACCGCATAGGCAAACAAACCGCATACCTTGGAGTAAGATTTAACATAAAGAGAGGAAATACAGTGGTGCGATAGATAGAATGTGCAAGTAGCCCTAAGGTGGCTAGATACCAACTAATACGAAGAGCGATGTTAAACTTCAATTGGGATACAACCGATCAACAGCGCTCAAGACTGAACGCTGTACTAGTGGAAGCGAAATTCAAACTGTTCTATCGAGAAGTGTCAAGTGATAATGAATGACGCAGTCAGTTTTAAATATCAAGGGAACTGTCTGTTCTCATCCCAAAGCAATAGTGCTTCGGGTTGCCGGTAAGCGATGTGTCACCGTTCAAGTTCAGCTTCAACACTGCCGTGTCGACGTTTAAGGAGAATGCCAGTAGGGTGAAACGAAAATGAGAGATGGAGAATGCACGTCTTTAGTCTAATTCAGTTCACATGCGCAACCATGCTCGGGAAACCGAAGTCCGGTTGATCCAGTCACCATGACACTCATCTGAATAACCATAATTAAGGAGGGCAAGAAAACGAGATTAAATGCAGGTAAAAAGCAAAAGAGATGGAATCAAGAGTTAAACCGATCTGGATGGAATGCAAATTAACGGATAGATGCAAGAAACGGAATGCAGAAATGCCACTGATTGCACGATTGCAATGTGTCTGACGGAGCATCCAATCACTGGTGCGAGTCATCTCCAGTCCCCCATCCGTTCAGACGACACGAACTAACCTGAGCAAAATGCTGCAATTTTTTCATGCATGTATCCTACGTCATTGATTGGTCACTTCACGGTTTCATCAAGTACAATACAGGTAAGTTGAGGGTTAGCAACACGCCCCAGGTAATGTGTCGCAATAAAAAGATGAGATAATAAAAAGTACATTACAAAGAATTCAAAAAGTGACTACTACAAGTTAAGCATTTTATTATGCATTTCGCAGGAAATCGTAATTAAAGGAGAAATCTAAAGCGAAGGGGCCGGCTCTCCGCCATATCAGTAAGTGTGTTCAACTAACCATGTTCATCGTCCTTGGGACCGCAGCCTGAGAGTCGGGATGCACCAACGGACGCCAAAGTATAAGTGAAGGTCTTCATTCCTCTTGACAAAGTCACCGCTTGGTCGCCCCTCCTTCTGTTCCATGCAGACCCCAGGCTCGTAAATAGCGCACGTAGCGGGGGTCGGTGTGCTGACATGCGCAACACGTGGTCCAGCCATCCGAGCCTGGTACTGTGCGGATCACTCGCTCTTCCTGCACCAAATATGCGAAATCGAACACATTCATTGCTCACGCCGTGCACCCATCAGACATGAGCTAAACCGCGGAGACAGCTTATGTCTGGCGACCTGATGGGCCAGATTTCACATCCGTACAGGAGGGTTGAACGAACAGCTGCGTTATAAACTCTGCCATTCAGGACGAGAGTGCTATCGCATTCGTGCCACAGGTGGCGGAGATTGGAAAAAGCATCTAGCTTTTTCTATGCGGTTCGTGGCTTCATCTTCAGTCTCTCTGGCGATAATTTAGCTGCCCAGGAACTTGAATTACTGAACGACTTCCAGCAGATCACCCATAAGGGTCAGCGTTAATGGTGGTTCTCTCCCAATCTTGGAGGACTTTGCATCTCGAGCGAGCAAAACATAACCCAAAACAACTGACAAACAGTGCTAATCGGTCCAGTGATGCTTCGCACATCTGTGAGCTGTCACATCTATTGGGGCGATTTCGTCGCATACATAAAGTCAAGAAGTCACCCACCAAGAAGTAGCTCCACACCTTTCAGGTCGTGTCGAGCAAACGCTGATTCCATGACTTCGTCAATGGCGAGGTTATAGAGGAAAGATTACAGCAGCCAACTTTATCTCACGCCGCTGGAAATACTGAAGGGCATTGACAATTTGCCATTTACCCTCATTCCGCCCGAACTATGCGCGTATAGCGCTTTGATAATGCTCACGCATTTATCGGGCGCAAACTTTCTGAATAGACAAACGCAAAGCATGCAGCGACCAACCGAACCGAAGGCACCTTCGATGTCGAGAAACAGGACTATAGTGGGTCACCAATAAATAGAGTTGTGCTCCAAAAATTGATGTAAAGGTGTGCTCGATGCAGCCTCGAATTTGACGAAACCCGACTTGCTCCTCACGAATCTGACATTCACGAGTGCCCCTCACCTTGTGAAGAACGATAGATACAAGAAGTTTAGAGGCAATTATGAGCAGTTTGATTCCTGTATGATTGCCGTATCCCAAAAGAAAGCCAAGCTTGAAAACAGGGACTATGACGGAGCGAGTTAGGTCTGTTGGGACAATTTCTTGATCCCAAAGTTTCACTAGTAACTCGTGCAATTCATCTACAAGAGTAGGTATGCAGATTTTGTAGAGGGCTGGAGGAAGTCTAGCTAACCCCGTGGCCTTATGCGATTTCAACATTCTGATCTCATATTCTACTTCTGCGTGCGAAGGCTGATCCAACGGGACGGCACTTAATGTCCGAAAAGGAAAATGCTAACTCAGATTGGTTAAACTGACAAGCAAAGTGTTCGGCCCAACGCTCTAAGCGTCTTGACAAGCTGTGCATCTGCTGTCCACTCTCTTCGCGTATCATCACGCTAACACCAGGTCTCCTGCTGCTCATTTCCCGCAGCAGACGGAACAAATTACGATGGTTAATACCGGCAGCGGCTATTTCCAATTCCGATGCACGAAGAGACCACGAGACTTCACAGTCTCTCTTTAGATTAGCACGCAGTTTACCCTGAGCATTTTGCGAGTCTCATTATATTCGCTTCCAGTCGGAACACTCGGGCGAGAATCCAATAGTTCCAGAGACTGTTTACAGACCCAATGACCAGGTTGCTAATTTCATTTACCACCTGAGGACATACCTGCTGATAATAACCTTTTCCGAATATGCAACCAGTGATCGCCCACGGTGTTCAGTGGCCGCTTACCCAGCACCGATGCCAGCGTATTTTGATACGAATTCACGGCCTCATGGTTTCGCCTAACCTTGCAACGAAGAGAAAGCCAGCCGACGGACATAAGAAGAACATAGCCTAACCAACGAAGGCTCTTGAGATTAAGCAAACACTAGACTGAGGCATCAGATGGCTTCTTGCCCAATCCAAAAGGCGGACCTCAGCAATGCTCACCCGGTTTTCCCATCAGATGTGAACAACATTCCGGAAGCACAGGTGGTCCAACACAGCTAATGGCTTAATTTATTTGCCATTAAATGGCCAGGTCTCTAACGTATACAGTAACATCGGTCACATCGCCGCGTTATACATCCGAACTTTCACCGACAGGATGATACCTCACCGTCTCCGTAAATGGCTGGGCTTCTAATATACCACACGGATGTACAAGTCAGTTCAAAATATCAAGTAGAAAAGTAGGCGAAATAAGCTTTATGAACCCTAATGGATACATTTTCAGCATTTACACCACCACTGCGGATACCTGGATGATAATATTAATATAAAGTATAAGGATAGAAATGGGAATTCTGCACAACTGTTACTCCAACAACCGCTCGCTCAGCATGTTACTGACTTTTGCTGTGTCAACAAGCAAACGTGCTAGATAAGACAAAACAGTATTACGATACGATGACGTGCAGGAAAATAAGATGCTGAATTTCGAACGAGTAGAAGAGAGCGTTTTGGGAAGAGCCTCGTGAAGTGCGTGAAGTCGATCAGTTAGTACATTAGCAGAAAAATCATTGCAAACATCAAGATGTCTAGGAATGATCAAATCGACTAACACATCGCTTGATAAGCTGTTGTTTCTAGAAATGTGCTTTATGGATCACGCCATCAGATGTAGGCTTGCTGAAGCAGTCCAGGGAAACAACGGCAGGGCCGTATAAGCAATGGGGAATAATGCAAGAGACCATCAACCTGAATATTAAAGTAATGCGTATTGAAAGCACCTTAAGTCTAAGGGCATAAAAAGCTTTCTGACTTTTTGAAAAGTTTTACAAACATATGTGGACCAAAAAAGGTTCTGAGACAGAAAGATGCCGAGATAATTGACCGTGGAAGAGCTGGATATGAGATTTGCATTCACAGTAAGTGTTGGGAAGGAAGCTATGAGAGACTGCAACTTATCACTAAGTAGAAAAGAAAATATTACATCACTACATTTAGAAGCACTAAGCGTAAGCGATTTGAATAAATTTATTCCACCAGATCTTCCAAGCCACGTTGAAATGATGAGGAACTTTGGTTAGTGGGAGCCATACATCCCAGCATAACATCATCAACATATTTACACTCTAGAAACGT